TCATCGTATATATCTCTCGCGAAAAAAAGGGGTAAAAAATGCTAGCGCGAAATATTTGGTTGCGCCACACTCGCCCGATTTTTGGCGACCATATTTTTTTCTTTTACCGCAAAAATATGTCCACGACTGAAGTTTTATCGTTCTTTTCACCCTGTTCATTTTGTCGGGCATTTATTGCCGAACGTCACTCGTCCCTCTCTTGTACAGCTCTCGACATTACACGCGAGAGAACACATGCCACGTCGTGATATATTCTTGCTTGATGGAATAAAAAGGAAGAAATGCACAACTTTGGACTTTTCCAGAGATATATATTTTTTTTCGACCAATTCTTGCTCGACCATCGACCAAAGTTGAATAATAATCGAATACTCATTCGTTTACTCTTCGAATCGTGAATTCGGCAATTCATGACTGTATCGTCCACTTTGATGAAATGCAAATTTTTTATTTTTTATAAATCACGTTTGAATATATTAAAAGACTTGGATGTTATCGAGGTGAATTAAATATCAATAGGATTAAAACTCTGAACTCTTTTTTTAACCAATTTGTTAAAAAAACCAGCGTGCGTAATTACAGAAGTATAAAAGAGAGAAAAATGTATGAAAATTTTTACATTAATAACTAAATTATTTTATCGCTAAGATTCTATATGTTAATACTAAATGTATACAGAATCTCGTAAGATCCTACAAATCTTCGAATAATGTGACAGCAAATCTGATATTCCAAGAATGTTCGAAGGAAGGAAATCTCGTATTCGAATTCATTTGACGAGTAATACAACTATTCAAATATCTGCAGACGGACTTTCTGCCTTTTTCGCGCGTGCAAGAGAGAGATTCTATCCCGCTTCGGGTGCGGAGTACATTATCATGTAAATCGTAACCGCGTGGAGGATGAAATCGGGGGAGAGAAAGGGGTTGAACCGGTCGGATCGGCGCCATGCGCGGCACTCGAGGCGGACGAAAATTCGACGGTTTGCTCGTAAAGATTTAAGCACCATAAAAAAGCAAGCGTGCGTGCAATGCGATTGTTGTAATCACGTTTTTAGTACGCTTGAGGTGTTCGAGAGTTTTTACGGCGGAACGAATCGTCGACTGACATTACAGAAGGGAACGCAATTGTGCGGATGGTTTTACGAATTCGGCTGCATCGGTGGAGCTTAATCGACTCTTTTGTTCGTATAATACTGCGATTATATCGATTTTAAATAAAAAACGATAAAAGCGAGAAATCAAACGATCAGATCTGCTTTTCGCGATATATGATATTGCATTTTGCCAAAATGAAACCGATTTTCTCTCTATTTTTATTTTATTTTTTATTTGAATAATATGTAAAGTTGATGTAGAATATAATTTACTTGTATTATATTATATCGTGAAATTTTTAGTTTGTTACAGTCACGGAATTTAATCGAGAATAAAGAAATATGGAAATATACCGAGTAAATATCAGTATTCCACTTATATGTTGAAAGACAATAAAATTTATATTTCTATTTTATTGTAACATTGCCGTATATTTCGACAACAAAGAGCAGCAATTTTATATTTATCGCGTGGAAATTTTTCAGGAATAATTTCACTTACGAGATATAATTCGCAAATGCTTGTAAATCGCGGGAAATAAAAATAATTGAGAAAGATCATCGCACAAAGGTTATTATATTCAAATTTAGGCGATAAAGAATCCATTTTATGTTGTGCTCCGTATAATTACATGTTCGCGCGGAAATGCCCGTGATAATTCACGCATGCACGCGACGAAAATCGAATGTCAAGCGTTTCACTATGCAACGCGAAACCATTGAAATCAGAAACGATGGTATGCCGATTGTCGCGTTAAAACAGAATTGTGTTGCATGTGTCAATGGAATTTTTTAATTTATTTTTTCAATCCTTTTAATTAAAGCACATTTATCTCGCAAATTCCATCGACACGCGCCGTATGATTAAACAAACAAAACAAACAAAATAAAAGCAAAGCCTTCTTCGCGTGCGGAATATTTACATGAAATGCGTTACGCTTCTATGTATTTTGTGAATGTTGCTCGCGCCGCCGCCGCCGCCGCCGCGCAATTGCTGGCGCAAACGATTCCAGGTTCAATTAACGTCTCGAATTCATCCGTGGGTGTGGTGGACACGCATTGCATTCACGCTATGCATTTTGGCATACCTGTAGCCATAATTCCACGATGAATCAGACACGGCTCAGTTGCCGGCTTAGGAGGGCTGCAATTATTGGCGAGGTACCTTTTGTATTTACAGATACAAAAGGCACCTCTCAACACTAGTCTGAGAATTTTTGCCTATAAAATCATAATATTAGTATGCTACAAAAAAGTCGTTTTCAACGATTGCATTGATTATTTTATTATTTTATTCTTATTTTTGTGAGACTAAAAAAAATTTCTTAATTTATTTTAGAAGTTATTATTATCTCACACATGCAGATACTATATGATGCTGTGCATAGAATGCAAATTTAGATATTAACAATTAAAATAATTGTTTGATTAAACTGATTATAAGAGAATTAAAACATTCCTTTGACAAATTTATTGTTTATTACAACTTATTTGAAATACATATTTTACGAAAATGATTACGAGCGGTAATAGAATAAAGAATATTAAATAATGTGATTTATTTCGACATGGTAAATGCGTGAATTGTGTCTTGATAACATCCATAAAACAATGAGAATGAATAACTTTGAGATATAAGACGGACGAACATTTATTCATATTTTAACAGATCGAATGTAACGTTTATGTATCTCGAGTTTCCCGTTCGATTATTGTATAACCACTTTACGTCCGTTAAAAATGGAAACAGAATTTGAAGTTTGACGATAATAACTGATAGCGTTTGCCTTTCCCTCGGGAATGCTCCTTTTTTCCCCAGTTCGAGCAGCGGAAATTCCGACAGAAATGGCTACGGCTCGCACCCTCGCGCAAAGCCCGCGCGCATAAAACGGAATGAAATTCGTGACAGCGTTCCACTAGGTGTACCATTTCAACTCCGAGTCAGATAAATCGTGAAATACGATGATTTCTCGTGTTTCGTTACATGAGTCCCCTTTCACGCCGCGCCTCGTCGCGTCGCGCCGCGCCGCGTTTCCGTTTCCTTGCCCGAGCGCAACGGGGAGAGAGAATACTTGAAACTTTTTTATTTCATCCCGAGGCGCGCACGTCATTCGCCGGAGTCGAGTTGAAAAGGGTAGGTCCTTTATAAATGATCGTAGGTTTCACCGCAATTCCATTTTTCACGCGAAAAAGGGACGGTTTACTTTGCATGGAGATCGTCACCGCGCAAGTGTCTCGTTCTCAGTTTTCTTTTTTCCGTCGATTGTGTTAAAGTACATTCGAGATTGCGATATCTCTAGTAATTGAATAGCAAATTACGAATAGACGTGTTGTTATCAAACGATAGATGGAAAACGCCGCGATTTTATTTCGACGTAATATATCGACGTAATTCAACATTATGCTGCGCACAATTCACAGGATAATTAAACCACGGTTTCACTGCTCGTCTATTTTTCACGTTGCCGGGTTAAAATGCGGGAATTCATTCATTAGCTACCTGCGGAAGTCGGTTGTCGGGCGCTGGTGTTGAATTTAAAGCTGAGTATACTCGCGTATGTTCTCTTCAATATTTCAAACTGCCGCATGTAGTCGCGCTAAAATAAGATAGATAGGAACGACGCGAATTGTATTATTTATTCAGAATTTTTTACGGTTTTTGGCATTATTCTTTGTAGCAATGCAAATGTGTGCGTGTACGTGAAATATAAGATAATCACGGGTGTGCTGTGTCGTTTCATACAATTGAACGAATTTGATGCAAATTTTTGAAATGAGTATTAATAAAAATTCATATTTTTCACCATTATTTTAATCTCAGATTGAGAATGTTGAGAATCCCAATAATGAGATACTAAATTAAATTAAACATTAAAATAAAATGAATTAAATAACATTTTATTTCGAGCGAGTTCCGAGTGCTAATTAAAAATGATATTACCCTTCTCTATTTTTTAAAGTTTAGTTTTATTTCACAGTTTTAATTAAATTTAAAAGTAAAATAGACTAGAATTATAATTGTGGACATGAGAAACTATTAGTTGAAGTCATATTTTGAATCTTTTGAGCAGCGACAAAGCGTGTAGACGGAAGAGTGCGCAATTTACGGCCGTCACATACCGGCGTGGTGTCGTCGATCGTAATTGTCGAGGCATAGTAATACATGCCCGTTACACCCCGTGAGCAGCCGCTTTGATTATGAATAAAACATGCACTTACAAAATATCCGTAACTATATTCCTCACGAGTGAGAATGTTACGCTCGATATTCCGCAAAGAGCGTGTCGCGTTCGCGCGCGAACGCGCAGAGAACTCGCTTATTCGCTCGCGCGCGAGAGCAGGGGTGATTTTAACGCGCCCCGCGTCGCGCCGTTTACGCGGGAAGCCGAGGGATAATTGGGAAATAGCCGCGCGACGCTGCCGATCCGATGTGCGCCAGCGGGACGCGTTTAATAAAGTTAATATCACCTCCGGTAGTAAACGGCGGACGGTTAATAGCGGCCATCGGAAACCGGTATCGTAAACATTGTTTTCTACAGGGTGTGCCGGTATTATCACCGTCGCGGATACTAACTCGAGAGGAATAACGATCGCCTTGCTGCAAGGCAGCTTCGTTGCCTCGCGAAGCATTAGAAACGATGGAAAAGTTCAAGGATCTTCAGGAATACACACATCCTCGGAGAAATTAAATGTAGATTCAAGGAGAGAGGATTTACTCTTTTCGATTTTGATATTTTTCCCGCATTTTTTAATATTAACCTGAAAAATGCATAAAAAATATTTATTAATGTAAAATTTCGTCTCTGAGCGTGTAAAAGTAATTTTACACCGCTAACGGCGTTTATTACTTTATAATGTAATTAGCCCGCGATGTAATTTCATGATTGCGTTTTTTGCTTTGCAGAACTCTTTAGAAGCGCGGCAGAGGCTGGCCCTCTGGATATCGTGAAGCTTTGCAAAGGAGACAAGCTCCTCAACATTTCGACTCATCTACCGGCGAACACGCCCGATACGCCCTATGTTCTTCAGGTATGACATTGAAATTTTTATTGGTCTGCGAGCAATTATATTTGCAAAAATATTCTAATGCAATATAAATTGTTTGATTTTTTTTTTTTGGAAAACTTGCCTTACAAAGAAAGACATTTGTTGAATTTCGAAACAGTTCGAGATGAAACGAGAATTATGCTCCGTGCTTGTTGAGGAAATTTTTGTTAAATGCTTACGATGAGAACAACATGTTTGCAGCGATTAATACAACTTGCTTCCGGGTAATGAACGTTCAATTTGCGTATTGAATAATCGTTGTAACATTATCATAATTAGCCTCATTGCGCGTAATGCGAATCAATATTGGCGATGAGGTCCATTATGAGTTTACCGCGACTTTGGGGAAAGTTGAAAGCTTTGATTACCTCTCTGATAAGTAATTGTCTCATCGATATACCGTATTTTGCATATATACGAGCATATTGATCCACACTTGTTGGATTAGTAAAACTTTAAAAGCGTATTTTTTTTTTTGAATCACACATCACACGTCCTAAGTAAAACATACAAAAATACAAAAATTGTATAATTTATTTAATGAAATTATTTATTCAAATATTTAACTAAATATTTATTTTATTCATTGTAATCTATCAAACATGCAAATGTGCTGGATTGCTTATAAAATTGCAGATAAATATAAACCACAAAATTAATTACACAAATTACAGAGAGAATTGCTGCAAATAATTTGATCGCATTTACAAATTGCGGAAGAAAAAAGTCGCTAATTTGCATAAATTAATGAGAGGAAAACGTAAAAATGAGGTGTCAATTTACGGTTTGCGAAACAACGCTACGCAAACACGTGCGATAGAGTGCGACGTGCACTTCGCGTGTTTATGATAGCCAGTTGCGATCTTTTTTAAGATCGTTGGCGCGCATCCCGCTTCCTCGGGGGTGATCGAGGCGGAGGTGCTGTGGGCTCTGGAGAGGCGAGTGGCGGCTTTAGAGCGGCAACTGCGGGAGCATCAGGAAGCTTTATACGCCACACCCTCCCTCGCCTTGCGAGAACTAAAACGCCAAGTGGACAGTTTTAAGAACAAATTGGAGAACAACGATCAGCTGAGCTGGCTTAGTAAGTAATTATATTACATCATTTCCTATATATTTACGGGATCAGTCTGAAATAGCTCGTCAAACTTTGGCTCCGTGTTCCGTTGTGTAAGAGCGCATCAAAGATTAATAAAAATCTGGAAGCGTTTTTGCTGCATTTCTCTAGAATTTTTTCTGCATTATTTTTATGATTCGACCGTCCTAAGTTTGACGACATTGATCAGCTGGAACATTTAATTTCATTGAAATTTTTTTCGCTCTGTCTGTGCTAAATTTGACTTTGCAATTTGGGTTTCGCGACCGCAGCGGCGAGAAGTAAATGAAATAATTCAGCGGAACGGAAATTCGGGATAATATCAATTTTACTTTTGACATAAATGGCGAACATTAGCGAAATGAAACGCTCTTTACCGCGCGGATGGCCGTCATTATTTGTCGGTGATTATATAAATGATAATGGGCTTTTCGGGCCATTATCGTAATGCAGCAAAGTGCACACGCGACTGTTAAAATTGATTTATTGTTGTGGTACTCTTTCGCGTTCGAAATTCGAAAGCGAACACTTGCGGCGCTGAACTTGCGCCGAGGTGAAAAAATTGCGCGATTATTTCCATCTTTTACAGAACACAAAGAGTTTTGATGAAATTGCGTCGCGCGATCAAAGCGAAATGAAATTGAAGATTAATATGGATGTGAGCAGCATGCCTCGGGCGCTTCTCTTTCGCTGTCGGTTCACTTCTTCTCGTTAGCTCTCTTTCGTACTTAATTCATCAACTGCACATTTTTAAATCCATATTCTCGTGTTTATCGTGAAGTTTTTGATTTGATTTTTATTAGAAATAAAGCTTTGACAAACACAATCTTACGGAAATTGTGAAGATGATTCATGGATTTGTTTGCATTGATTTTATGTTGATTTTGTGTTGCATATTTTCCGCAAAACCACGCTCTATACAATATCCAATGTTAAATCCGCGGTAAATAATTAATCGTTCACCGCAAAACTGAAATTGCAAAATGTTTTTATTTAACGGGTTTTCAGTTTAAATCATTTGCAAATCCCTCGCTTCTGACAGCGTCCGCGATAAAAATTTGATTGTGCAACTCGATCAATGAATTAAAAAAAGTTATTATTGTTAAAATTTAATGAAGTATATATGAACAATTATCGAATAATCCGATTTTATTAAAATTATATTGATTAAATTAATTTGGAGAATGATTATTAATGAATTTATTTTACCATTTATTTATCACAATAAAAACAATACAATTAAATGAATAAAAATGTCGAGCAGAAAAGATAGCATATATGAGGAACAAATTAGGAAGACAATGAGTTAAAAGTTATGGTTTTTTCGAGTACACACCGCACATTTCGGCAAAATAATTCCGGATTTATTTCAACAATCAAAGATTTATCTGGAAACATTTTATCCAATCTGTCTCCGAATTGCGCGATAAAAATTGTCTTCTTGTGATTTTATTTTCCGCGCTGACATTGGTTATGGTTATCGAACTCCATCACCGAAATTCACATTGGCATAGGTCGGTCATTTCGGTCGTATATAAAAGTTTCGGAAAAATTTTACGACGCCGGCCGGATCTGAGACGAGTGACGGATATACGAGCGGATAAACAGCGGCATGCTCGGATCGCGGCCGCTGAATAAATATTTGTCCATGCAAGGAACCGTTCCGGCTATTCCTATCTTCAGCTTCTAGGCGAGTTTGTGCGGAGGGTGGTCCGCGCGCGTGAGCTAGGAAAGTTCCACGGTCGACTACGACATTAATTATCCTCTTAAAATTGACTTGATCCGAAGTTAATCAGACGATGTCTATTTATAAGCTGCCGGAGTTTAATTTAGCAAATTTTCCACTTCGCACGTCTATGTCTGCGTTTTCGTGCACTTGTGAGAAAATCTATAAATACATTTCTTAATAAATGTATAAGAAAATATATCTTTTCCTTGATTCAATTTTCTACGAAGTTTTTGCTTATGAAGCAAAATAGAAAATCCCTGAGAGTCTGTCGATGAAAGGAAGAGCCGAGACGGAAAACTGGGACGGCACGTATACCGGCCACTCTCGCAGCATATGAAATTCTCTTTACAAAATCTCGTTACGTTGTAAAACGACGCGGAATTTATAAAAAATTGCTCCGGAATTTTGCGCTGTTGTGTCGCGCACCTCTCACCGCGAAAATCTGAAAGTTCCCAGACACTTAATCTGGAAATTGCTGTCTTCCGCAGGTTTCTGCAAGCAGCTTTCGGAACCCATTTATATGGATTCTTGCCGCAGATTGCAGTACCGTCGGAAGAGCGACAGCATGAAGCGGAAGGTTCGCGAGAAGTTCCTCAACATCTGGTAAGTTTCAATAAATCAATATCATTTTTACTAATATAAGAAATTCTGGGCTGCACATTATTTCTCCACTGTTGGTTCTTACATAGCAAAATATATATAAAGCGTGAATATATATAAAATACATATATATAAAATTACAATAAGAAACGTGATGAACATCTTAATAAGGAATTTGATCGAAATTCCTGAAAAAGGCACATCGTTTGCATAATACACGCGATCCATCGAGAATACAGAGATGTATGCATATCGCTGGCGTTGTTGAAAAACTTACAGATGACGGAACTTTTATCTGCTACACCGGCGAGAATTCTCCGCGCCCGAATGCCGATAGATATTACGCGCGCAGGATCGTCAATGAGGTGCTTCCGCGGCATGTTCGATCGAAATGCCAATAGGCCGTTGTGTCGGACAGGCCATCAGCGGGCTGTAGAGCCGCGGCTGATGATTAAGCGGCCTGCGATAATCCTATCTATTAAGCAGCAATATGCCGCTGTTTCCAGTTACATTGTCGTCCAATGGCCGCTCGATCGAACCCGCCGTCGCCGTTGCTCTCGGGGGTAATGCGAGAGTCTCCCGCGTTCCATGTCATTGTGATTAAGCGTCGATGCACGGCGCGGCATCGATCCGTCGATCGCGCATGCAGATAGCAAAAACGCGATCCGACCTCGAAGATTGATTAGCCGGGGGAAAGTTATTCAACGAGTACGCGACGTGTCGTAGGTTTCGCCGATGCTATGCATACAGGGTGTTCCGCCGATCGCGCTGTCCCATTTCCATGAATTTCGCAGTCAATTTTGTAGACGATCTTCTCTCAATATTGAACGATCAAATAATGAATATTTTATATCATAGTAAAAATAAACTTTAATACTCTTCGTCGATTTTGATACTTGACGAAAAACCCATCATAATTCGATCCAAATTGATTATACATCAATCATTATTTCATTTTCTAATTGAACGTCAGTTTTCAAAGGAGAAACTATTATAATTGAATTAATAATTAATTATCAGATCGAATATAATTCCTCGCTTCGTAGATACAACGCGCTAATATTTATTTACATTAAAGTGCTGCAGTCGTTACTATACGTTTATAACAAAACGAGTGATAAGGGATGAATAAAGCGTAATAACAATAAAGCCGTATTGCAATGCGCTGTTGAAATATCCCTCTATTGAAATTCGTAGTCAATAAAGCATCCATTGGCGGCACAATTTGCCACGTTGAACGTCGGAGATCAAAGGATGCGGCGCGGAAATTAATTATGTAGCGATGTAGAAAGTATGGTTACGTTATTACGAGGGACGGCCATCGGAAAATTAGAGATAAACAATTTGCCGGGAATAAAATATCGATTAAACACATGCACCGAAATATCGGGGGCAGATTGCCGGGAATAAAGTATCGATTAACTTGCCTTTGAAGCGACACAAAGATAAACAATCAACCTGCTTGACACCACGTGAAGGCTCATCAAATCGTTCTCGAACATACTCGTACGTTTCTCCCGGTTTCTACAGGTATTTACTTATTCAATATTGTACCTTTTTTAATTAAATTTTTTTAATTAAAAGCGGATCCGGATTTACACAACGCAATTTCTCACACAAAAGCTGCGACGATGTGAAATACGTTTAATAAAATATGGATATGCGTATGAGGCCACACATTAGACGACAGTTGCACGAGATGTTTTTTAGTGTGTGAATTCCATCGCGGAAAGTATAAAAGAACGCTCTTAATTTAACGAGTTTAAATGAAAACAGCTCGATTGTCTCGGATAAAAGATTGAAGTATCCGTGGTTTTTTCTCCGCGCTGATACTCTTCTCGCGCAAAATCTATTATGTCGATACTCGATATCACGAGATGATCAGCGTGATTGAAAGTCTGCGCGTACTTAAATAAGAGCCAAAGGTGAATGGATATAAAATAGATATAAAATTTGATTGATCTACGGAGATATGAGCTTGGGGCTTACGAATCTCCGAAACAAGGGCACAATCCACTCTTGCAAAACCGCCACCGCTAACAATGTCGCGGTCGATAAATTTCAGATAAGACTGTATTGATTTTGTGCCGCTCAAAGCAGATAGTCCATTAAGATGTATCCGTAATAGAAGCGACTTGTCGTAACAGCTAAAATCGATGTGACTGATCGTCAATGATCGACCTTGCCAGTCGATAAGAAATTAGGTTTAAAAAAAAACGCTGTTACACTTGCAGGAAAATTCCGAAATAGTTGAGAAAATTACTTTTTGTAAAATACATTCACCACTTCTTATTTATGTTATACAATTTGCGTTAAAATTACAATAAGAATGCGAACATTAATATACAACGTGTTAGGTTGCAATTATGCAAGGTCTCGTCCGGATGGATATAATTGTAGTAGCGTTCCGCTGCGCTATCCTCAACAGGTTTTGAAGACAAATTCAAAAAGGGCGCCACCTGCCTGCACTCAGGCTGCGCCCCGTTGTCTTGACGATCATCATTGTTTTCCTGTTGTGCGATTCCTCAACTCGTACTTTTTTCTTAGTTCTCAATAGTGTGATTTCTTGCTTTTTTCAGAGATGGGAAAGACGTCTCACAGATCCAGAAAGAGAAGGAGGTCACCGTCTGCAGATAAGATTGCGGGTTTGGAGGAAAAAATGTCACGCCTAATTGACATCCTCTCACAAAGTGAGATTAGGGCACCCCGTCGCCCCTCCCCGCAACAACCTATTGTCTCTGCGTCCCCGCAGATGATTCAAGGGTCACG